CCCTAGACTCTAAACCCTAAGCCGCGTGCCAAAGAGACGGCTGGGACTTCGGGAGTGCGAAGGATGGTGGCTGCTCGGGGCAGCGGCACCACGCAAGCAGCCTTATGTCACTGGGGATTTAGGAATTTAGGGTTTGAGGGTTTTAGGGTGTTAGGATTTAGGGTTTTAGGGTTTTTTAGGGTTTAGGGTTTTAAGGTTTTAGGGTTTAGGGTTTAGGGTTTTAGGGTTTTAGGGTTTAGGGATATAGGGGTTATATAGGGATTATGTAGGAAATATATCGGGGTTATATTGGGATAATGGAAAATAAAATAGAAACTGCTATAGGGTTTAGTTTTCACTTGTGCTTAGTAGAGAAATAAGGGAACTGAATCTCCATATTTAGAGTTTAGGGTTTGGGGAAAAAGGGGATGTAATACCTGCGTAAGCCCTATACAATATATTCCCTTCTCCCCTACCCTATAGCTACGCCCAGGGTGAATCGTTGCTGCTTCACATGGACATGTGTCTCAGGTTGGGCCGTGGCACAGTTCTGCTAGCAACATATGTATTGTCAGAAGTCGCTAGCTCCGAGGTTACCGTTTAGGCCTGGCGGACTCCACATGTTGGCACATGTAGACGGAGGTTGTCGAGTATTCCTTCATCAACAATTAGGGGCTTGCACGCAAGCGGAGGCTTGCCGCTTGCACGTGTGCAATTTGGCTCAAAATGGTTTTCGTGGAGGCTCATCACGCTGACAAACTGAAATTACTCATATTGTTATGAGGAATGTATGGCCCAGCTGACCAGCAGCCAACAACTTCATGAACGTTGCCGCCCTTTTTTGGACCCCAAAGAATTTCAATCTTGAAAGCCAGAGGCTTTCAAATGCTGTGAGCGCTTGCGCACATTCGCTGTGTACTCTTGAATTTTGCCTGCTGACGTGATGGCTTGCTTGGAGCAATAGTTTCGCAGTCAAACCAGCGCTGTTCCTTGAGCAATGCTTATGTGGAGCTTGCGCGCGCCTACTTCTTTGACAGCTGAGGCATTGATGCTGAGGCCATACTTGGTTTTCGTCTGTATCAATTGTAGACAAAGATTTTTGGAGAACCCTCAGATGTCACGGAGGGCCAACACTGCAGTCTGCGCAATCAGGGGCTCTGTTGTGGATTGTAGTTTGGGATTTAGGGTAGACCTCCCCACCATAAGCTTACACGAATCCTTCAGAGTAGCAGACCAAGCCCAGGTCCCTAAGGTATTCAGGATTGCAAGATAACTTCCGGTTTAGTACCCGGGCGCTAAACAAAATAGAACCCGATTTCTTTCAAGTGTAAGATGTTATTCGCTGACGTCAAGGCGTCACTTCGATGAGAGCTGGCTCCCCTCAGTACAATGAAGCGTCTTTCAAGACTTAAGCACCAGCTTTGGCAAGGATAACTGAAATCTTGTTGGGTTCACTCCAGATTTTCCCTGGGCCATAGCAATGAAAACGCTGGTGCAGTCACGCGGCCAATGCCCGGCACATATTCGAGAGATGAGTGATACCGAAAGTCCTGCATGACCCTTTGCTATGAAACCCTCACTTCCCAAGGCTTAGGGTACTTAGTGTCGTAGGGCCCTCACAATGCCAGCACAACACAGCCCGCACATCTCAGCAGCTTCCCGTTCAGGTGCGGGCGATCCTCGGCTGTCATCAGGTATTGAACACGGACGCAGTAGCTTTCAGTATAGGTTTAGGGTTAAGGGTCAATTGATGACAAACAAAAATGTAAAGCTACTTGTTACGAATGAAACTTTGGCACAGTAGAGGGTGCGGGGATGGCCTAGGGATAGGTCGGGATTACCAAAAAGTTGTTTTTTGGGTGGTCCCTGTATCGACGAAAAAGGGGACATTCTGTGAAACTCCCATATGCATTAAAGCTGACCCAGCCTGGCATGAAAGCAAGCCTTTGCCTAATAGGTGTTGGGTCACCCCGGTTTAGGGTTAGGGTTTAGGAAATAGGGCTCAGGGTTTACGGTTTTAGGGTTTATACCCTAGGGCTCCTATATGGGTCCTTCGGGGCTTGTTCTGGCTTTTCAGAGATTACAAGATAATATAGCCCTAAAAGAAACTACGTAAGAGATTCTGGGAGAATATGAAATGATATGCTGGGCCCAAAGTACGTATATAGGAACCTCAATACATACTTGGTAGGACTCGGGATTGGAACCCTAGGGTACCATATTCAAATAGGAAATGACGGTCTGCTTAAGTCCCTTTGTATAATTACCCATTAACCTTGAACCCTGAACCCCATACGTGGTTGGGGTTAGGGAGCATTGAATCGACCCTCAGGCCACGGGTAAACCTGGAGCTTCAAGTCGTTGGCCAAGTGTAGACCCAGGCTTCTTAGCTGCGGCCAATGCTGACTACAAGAATCTTGTAAACCCTAATAGTTGTTTCCATTTTCTTTTCCATCATCCCAATATATTCCCTACATAGCCCCATAGATACCTCATAACCCCCATCTATCCCTAAGATATCCCCTATATAACCCCTATATATACACCTTATAAGCCCTATAGAATATACCTTGTAGACCCTAAATAACGCCAATGTTTAGCCTTTTTCAATGACACCCTCCAGCATCTTCTCTGAGGCAGCCCACAGTTGCCACACGCTGTCCAACATGTTTGGCCCTCTACTGGGTTGCTGTTTTTAGGGTTTAGGGTTTAGGGTTGCTGTTAAGAAACTTAAAATTAAGTTGCCATAATGGATATGTGTATATATAGTAACTAATACAGCTTCCCAATATAGTAACTTAAATTGAGTTCCTTAGCAGCAACCCAGTTCATAGTTTGATCTTTTGACGAGGCTCCCTGCGGGGGAAGCCCTCCCGTGGGCCATGTAGCAGCATCAACAGGGACATCGTCAAACACAATCTGTTGTATAAGCCTGTCATTTTTTCATGTTGCAGATGTGACGGGTCATGATTACATTGCAAAATCTTCTCGTGCCCCTATGTCCTATGTGTTCAAGGTGATGCCCTTAGGACCTATAAGCCTCAGGAGCCAATTATCTTAATGTTTGGTAGTTCTTTGATCAGCCGATGGAGCGATGCCAACATCAGCGAGTTTGGGGCCGTGTATATGGCACGATGCTTAACAACATTGTCCGCAAGACCAATCGTGACTTCCTAAACCCCTCACACGACTCCGTAGTCTAGACATGACAACCTGCGTCTTCAGTGAAATCCATGAGTCTATGACAATGCTGAGTAAGTAAAAAAGCTGCGGAGACAAGCAGAGTGGTCACAGTTCAAAACGCAAAGTCCAGTTTTCCCGGATTGTGTCTAAAGGTGAAATACATAATTTCCTTGACCTTACCCTTCCTTTAGGATGCCTAACTTTGTGTCTGGTATACTTCTCTATACAAAATTAGGTATCCTGAGTAGGGTATTTAAGCCATAGAGCTCTAGGTGTGCTATAACTGCTTCGACAGCTTGCGGCACCAGGTCTGGGGTCAGGATCTTGTGAGAAAGCGGTCCTGTTAATGACAAAGGGTTTAGCGTGTAGCGTGTTTTTTGTTTGCGGTGTCCCCAGCCGGAGACCCAATACATACACATACCTTGTACCTCAAGCATGTGTTCCCTTACTACTCCTCCCTATCCATCCATACACGGACCTAAAACCATTCACAGAATATCCTAATTCGATTGTATCGCAATCACCCCCCATAGCAAGCAAACCCACAGCCGCAACAATGCACATTCCCTCAATAGATAGGAACTCAAGAAACATACAATGCTCAACAAAAGTAAGCCGTCTGAGCCCTTAAGCTAAAATCTCCTTTCTGCCCCCCACATAGTCCCTTAATCCCTGAAGAGAGCAGAAGTTTGATCTAAAAACATAAGAATGATACCACACAACATGCAAAATAGAAACAAGAACGACAATAGGAACAACCAGAATAATGCAGTTAAAGTCATGTCTATCAGCATTCAACTCCCCATGTTTGCATGAGTTTAAAGACGTTCCCTGTGGCTACACCCTAACCCCTAACCCCTCAACCCTAAACCCCCCCCTGTGGCTACAATGAAAAAGGAAGCCCAGGCTCTAAGAGATCCACCACTAAGATCACCCATGCAGTTTAAAAACTTATTAGAGTTTGGGGGTCCAGGGCTTTTGGGGCTTTTAGGGCTTAGCGGTTGGGGGGATGTAGGGTTTAGGGTTCTGGGGGGGTTTAGGGCTTCGGGGTGTCAGGGTTGTTGGGCTTCAGGGTTTTAGGGGTTCTGGGTGCGAGGTTCGAGCGCATCTTCTTGAGACAATACTCAGTACTCCAAGCAGTCGCAAAAACTGACGTCAAAGCGAGAAATCCTGTTTTCACCGTGTCGTCAAGTGCTCAAAGAAAATCACTTCGGCATGGATGTCAAGCTATACTGCGTATATGCCGTCGCAAGACTCAATTGAAGCGCAGATGTTGTTTGCACGTGGATGAGGACCTTCACAGACTCATGCCCTAAGCGCGATGCCCCAAGCCCCCGTAATGACAAGTAAAGTAGAGGCCTGGTTGAGCAGAATGTGGTTTTGGGTTCTAGCATACTGTAGTTGGATAAGGATTACAACGGGGTTAGTACTGAAAATTATTCAGCCATACAGTATCGCTCCTCCAGCCTACATCACTTCCCAAAGAAAGTTGGTTCTTATGGGCCATACCCTAAGCCCAAAATCCCAAGCCCAAACCCCAAAGCTTAAACTGTAAAATCCGGAACCCTAAACTCCTAAACCCCCGCACCAAAACCCTACAACCTAAAACCAAAACCAAGACCTTCAACCCCCAAGCGTAAAACCTAAACACGTAAACCGTAAATCCCAAACGTAAAACCTACATCGCAAAACTAGTCCCGGAGCCCCTCGGGCTACAATCCTTAATCCTAAGCCCAACCCCTAAATCCTAAACCGCAAGCCCCAACCCTAAACCCAAAATCCTAAATCCTAAAGCCTAAATCAGGCCTGAAGCCCGTCACAGCCAGAAAAGTTCGACGCAAGCCCGCTGCCCGGGCACAGAGCTGCCCGTTGCCGATCTGGGTTTTCAAATTGGCGTGCAGGACTTCGGGGATTTGCGGCTGGGGATTAAAGCTCAGGGTTTTAAGGTTTAGGGTTTAGGCTGTAGGATTTACAGGCTTAGCGTTTTGGATTTTGTTTCACTGTTGAGCCCTCCAATTGAAAGGCCCCCCAAAAGGGCAGGCGATGGCTGACTGCTGAACCCATTCGGGACTCTATAGGGGTTGCGTTTAGGGTTTAGGGTTCAGGGGTTTCGGGTATCTGGGATAAACTATGTCGCCCATTTCCTCCAATTATAGGATCACCCTTGGCATGTTGCCATCATAGAGTGGTAGTATCCTTGTGATAGGCATCTTTAACAGTGACCCATCCCACCCTAAACCCTTAACTCCTGGACCCTTAGCTCTCATAGCCTCTTGGGTTGTCTGATGACAGCTTTGAGCTGCTGACACGTCCGTTGCAATAGATTTTTGGCCCTCACGAAAAAGGTTTACTTACATTTTAATATTGTGGGGTCATGTTGGAGTTCCCATACTACCCATATTGAGGGACAGCTTCCGAGAAACAGGGTTTTGGTCAATGGTTGAGGTTTTGTCCTTTTGCCTCAGCTTCCAGACTCTGGCCGTCGCTGAATGTGCGAGTGTGCAAGGGCGGGTGGAAGAACCCTAAACCCTAAACCGCGATAGACTTGGGTCCGCAGGTTTAGGACGCAGCTTCAGGCAAAGAGTATTTACACCAATTTGGTTGCAACAATTGAGTCTTTTACGCTACGCCAGTGTGTGGCACTGGCAGAAACTACCATCTTTACTAACTTGCGGCCCCGGATTATATACCTAAACTAGCAGAACCCTTGTGCCCGGACCCCTCAGGACATTCCTTGCAGGCTGTTACCGAGTGTCGACACGGTGGTCGAGCTTGGCAAGTGCACGCCGCACCTGAAGCTTCAACATTGTCACAGTCTGGGTTGCTGTTAAGTAAATTAAGGGATTATCCCCCTATAATAAAGAATCAAATGGAAAAGAACATGGAAAATGAAACGGAAACCGGGGGAATATAGGGAGTTAAGGAACTTAAATTAAGTTACCATAATGGGTAGAATATAGAAATTACTATGGTTTCCCCAATATAGTAACATAAGTTCAATTCCTTAACAGCAACCAGTCTGGGGTTTAGGGCTTGCGGGGTCTGAAGCTTTGGGTTTGAAGCCTTAAGTCGGTAAGTGCCAGGTTTCCCTAGGCCCTGAGCCCTAAGCCCTCAACCCTAAGCCGCCGGTCCATGGTTTAGTGCTTGGCAGGTTTGAACTTGGCCCTGAAACAGGAGAGTCCTTGAAGTAACTGACGAAGAAATTCAGACAGTTAGCGTTCAGTGTGACTTAACAATGTAAACCTGGAACAGCGCTGTTCTTGGAAACCTTTCCAAAAGAAAGGGGTGGCCTATAGGAGGACCCCCCACCCTGTAAATATATAATAGGAATATAAGAGGACCCTGAAATGATCCTCATTGTCCTTTGTAGTCACTATTACAGGGTGGGGGATCCACCGAATAAGGGTGCCTGTGTATATCTCGAGCTGCCAGACCTGCAGGTGCATGCTCAAAAAAAGCCCACAATAACAACCCTAAACCCTTAAAACCTTAAAACCTAAACCCTAAACCCTTAAAACCTAAGCCCTGAAACCAAAACCCTTAAACCCTTATCCCCCTAAACCCCTTAACCCTAAACCCTAAGCCCCTGAACCCTAAACCCTCGGCATCTTAATTCCCGGTCATCTAAGTAGTGGCGCTCCAAACCCTCAGGGGGTTGGGGTTTAGGATTTAGGGCTTAGGGTTGATGTGTTTTGGGACCCGTAGGGGAACGGTCATGGTACCTTCAACGCATGCTCCAAAACCTCCACATTACGCGTAATTCAAGCCTTTTGCATCAGGCCGAAACCTATTGCGTTTGGGTTTTAGGGATTAAGCCTTGGGGCTTAGGGTTCAGGGCTCAGTGCTTAGGGAGAGCTAAGCACTTGCTACTGTAGCTGATTGAAAGCTCCCCACTTCAGAAAATGGCATGCTCGGAACTCCCTGTACTGAACCTCATAATGCTATCACACGGCTTCTCAAGACACCCCGCACATGTCTTCTGAATAGTCTTGTGGTTGGGGCCCCATGAATCAGTTGTGACGATTTTAAAGCCCTAAAGCCTTGAAGCAGAGCCAAAAAAACATAAGCCTGCCGATATCCAGCATGAATCCATGCATGGGGGATGCTAGATTGGGTTAGGTACAGCTCGCATTGTAGCCCAAATCTTGGAGAAGGCCAAAGCCCAAAAGCATTCTCTACACACGCTTGGTGTTGCCCTATATGATCTCGATGTGACCCCTATACCCCCAGCTGCACCGACCGCTACTTGGACAACAATAAAGCTGAACCATTGACCCTTAATCAACAAAAATCCTACACCCGGCAACACAAAACTTTAAACCCTAAACCCGAAACCTCTAAATCGCCAGACTTAAAACCTAAGCTTTTGAAACCCTGAGACCCCTAAACCCAAAACCCTGAAAGCCTCCCACCCTAAACCCCTAAACCCACTTCCCTCCGGATCTCACAGGTAGGCAGAGTTTGAAGAAATAATGACTAACTATGCCACATCCAAGTGGCAACCCCCGTTACAATTCGAAACCCTAAGCCCTAAACCCTAAACCCCACAAAATACCATGGAATCCTCGGAGAGCTACCAGATGATCCAAGTACAATCCCTCTACATTTCTGGCTAAACCTCTAAAGCCCTACACCCCAATAAGCTCCTAAACCGGTACCCCCTAAACCTTAAACCTCCAACCCCTTCTCCCCCATATGAGCTGTAGTCGAAAGTCCTAGTATCCCCCTTAATAAGCCCTATAGTACTCCCCTATATAATCCCATTTACGGAGTTTAGACTATAGCCCATTTCCCTAAATCCCTACCTGGAACGCCAAAGTGCCCTAAAACAAAAGGATCCGGCAAACAAAACGGATCTTTCTATAGTGTATCATGTACAGATATTTCAGTTGGTTTGTCCAGAAACATTGGATAAATGTGGTGAGATCGAGTAGAGTAGAGATAGGGCGGGGGTTTCCCAAAAAACTACTCAGCTTGCAGTGTTTTCTCTAAGAGTACACAAATAACCGAAATTTGTGTGGTTATAATCTGTTCGGTACATTTTTTGATTAAAAAAATCCTGCGCGCAAAGAGCCATAACAAAAAGCATAAAGATCCATAATCACCCGTAAAGATCCATAATTTTTGATGGTCCTGAACTTTGAATTTTTGAAGTATTTTCGGTGTATCGAAAATCATGGATACGCAGCCAGTCGAACCATGTCCAAATACGCCGGCAATTTGTGGCAACACTGGGATGACCCACGGCGAGCTGTCCTTAATGCTTGTGTCGCCTTATGTCTAACGTTTCCAGGGAACTTGCCATGTCAGAACCCAAAGTTTTGTCTCTCGAGCTGAGATTTGCGGAGGCTGGCTGCAAAAGTCTTAGTTTGAAGGACATCATGCCAGTCTGGGTCAACATGGGAAGCGGTACTTTTGCCAGTAGCTGTTTATTTCCAGCTACTTGGCTTTCAAGGTAACGCCTAGTCCACTGCACTAAGCCTCTCGGACCCCGAAATTTGATCTCAAACCTCAAGCTCCCAAACCCACACACTCCCGATGCGAACGGAGGAGCACTTTGCTCGAGCACTTACATCCAAACGGCGCTGCTGGTGCGGAGGAAGGATCCGATTGCCTTTGTGACCCGCAATGAGCTCACTCAGCACTCTAGGATACGGTTCTGCGACTTTCGTCCAGTGCTTGCAGTGGAGTCGAGAGTACACAGTAAGCCGCGGAACAGCTGAGTCCACCCGCTGCAAAAATGCGTGTCCGCTTTCGCCAGGGCATGCCGAGCCGACAATAATCGATCACGAGGGATCCAGCTTCGCCATATCGCTGAAACAGCTTTGCCCATCGGGGTGTACTCCCCAGAAAGCCCAGTAAAGCTTAGGGCAGGTCTTAGGGTATAGGATTTATCCGACATAATTCAACCCTAAACTACCCCAAACCCCGCAGCCCCTAAAACCTTTGAACCTAAAACTGCAAATCCTAAGCCCTAAAACCCTTAAGCCCCAAATCCTAAACCCTAACACCCGAATTTCACCAAAACCTAAACCCCCAAATCATAAAGCCCCAACCCAAGACTCTAAGCAGAAAACCCTAAAGCCCTATAAACAGGAAAACCCCAAACCAAAACCCTACTTACACCCTAAACTACCCCAAACCCCGCAGCCCCTAAAACCTTTAAACCTAAAACTCTAAATCCTAAACCCTAAGCTGAACACTAAAACCCCAAACCAAAACCCTACACCTCCATCTCTCCCCATCGCGGCCTCCGCCAGCAGCGCCTCCGCCGCAGCCAAGGCAGGCTCCAAGGGGCTACCGAAATCCAAACGGAGGGCCTGAAGCTAAGGTTTAAGGGTTTACAGGGTTTAGGGTTTAGGGTTTAGGATTTAGGGTTTAGGGTTTAGGGTTTAGGGTTTAAGGGTTTAAGGGTTTAGGGCTTTAGGGGTTTTAGGGGCTGGGTTTTTAGCATTTAGGGCTAAGGAATTAGAAGTTAAGAGTGTAGGGGATAGGATTTAAGGTACAGGATGTAAAGTTAGGCTGCGGGAATTAAGGTATCACAGGGAGCAATTAATTGCGTAGGGCCCGGAGAATAAGGTTAGGGGGTCTTGGGGCTTATGTATATCATCATTGCCGTTATTACTGTTGTTCTCCTGGATTTATGTGATTCAGGTTTTGTTGAGGGAAGGGCGAGGGTCTGATTTACCATTCCTGTTCTGACTTGTGTTCATGTTGCTTTCAGATAAGGTTCTGATTTTTGGGTGCATCATGATTGTTGCGGGAGCTATGTTGTTGGCGTTTGGGGTCTAGGGTGAAATCTAGGGGGGGTTATGGATGGAAATAGGGGTCATGAAGAGATTCTGGGGGGTCCTGCAGCAGGATATCTTGACAAACT